ACTACAGAGGTCCTGGGTTTGAATTCAGAGCCCTTGTATGTGCAGCTTGTATTTCATCCTTTTACTTAATTATGTTTAATTCTCCTGTCACCGTAATTGTAAAAAAACAAACAAACAAACAAAAACGAGAGGGTTTATGGATGTTGTTTAGAACAGCATGCATAGGTGGGTTTGAGAGAAGGGGCATGCTCCTTATTCGTTGTAGTCAACCCGGAAGTGAGCAGTGGAAAGAAGATCAGACTGATTCAAAGCAGGACTGAGAATGACTGAAAATACAAGAAAGATTCAAAGAGAACTCAAATTGATGCAAATCAGCTAAACAAAGACAAAAATGTGCATCAGAGAGACACAAAATGTAGAAGTCTGGATCTCAGGAGGGAAGCGGTGTCGATTTGGAGCATCAAATAGCAGCTTTCACTGAATTGAAAGACCTGAGCCCCTGATATTAGATGCTCAGTGTATTGAAATGAATCAGTAATCATATTTATTATGCTCTGGTACGGGTTAATACTGCAGAGCATCTTTAAATGTCACATGTAAAACACATTATTTACACAGTATTCGCTGCGCTGGTTCCCATACTCGAACCCGGTTCATTTTCCTGTTTCCATACTGGAATAAGGAACAGAAACATTGATGCGTTCTCCCTTTTACCTCTGATTCTCATTTTCCTCAGAGCCTGAACTGCTGGAATGGAGAGAATAAAGCCAGATTATGATAGGGGTGAAGTGATGAGTCTTTTTATAGAAAGAATGTGGAGGACTGCTCACTTTTGTAAAGCTGTTTATGTAACAGCAGACAGCACCGTTCCACATGAAAGCCCTGTTACGGCATCACATCTCCGCACACCGTGACTTCACTTCGCCATACGTGAAAACTCTTTGTGCAGGTTTCCTCTTATTCTCTGCTGCAAATGAACAAAAAAAAATGTCAGACCTTCTGTGGATGGATTTTATATCCCTCGGGCCATGTTTGACCAGACCACATTAGTGACTTCACCTTCTTTGCCTTTACACAGATGGCTGCTTTTTAATTTTAGGCCATAAGAAAACAAAAGAGGGACCATCTGTGGGGTCACCCACGGGAGTCAAAAGGGATGATTGAGCCCTCAGGTCCGGCTTTACTGCTCAGTCAGTAACCGGAGCTAGAAAATCCTCGTCATCTGTAGCTCAGGAGGCCAAAAGGTGTGAGACGATTAATCGGAGTGGAAAGGAAAAATAAATCAACCTTCGCTTTTTGTGAATGTGACCTGCTTCAGCCTGAAAAGGTTAATTAAACCAATCCAAACCTTTTTGCCTCAGACCTGTGACAAGTAGCGAAAGCAGTCGTGGAGGGCAACTACATATTTATTAACTCAAAGCCTTTTGCTTCTCAAGTTAATGCAATATAAGAAACTTTCTGCTTCTTCCTCACTGCATAAGAAAGGCAAATGCTCAATTCTCACATTTCTCACACAGCTTTAGTTATTTTTAATATTTCAACACTGACTGACCCTATGAGATCTAATCTTAACTTGAGCACCCAGCTTTAAACATAAGTATTAGACCTAGCCTAAAACTCACTGAAAATCTAGAGAAGCTCCACTTCCCCTTCAGGTTATTTACACTGTTAAAAAAACAACAAAACAAAAATAAATCCTTAAAAATAAATCCAGAAAATCATTTTGTCCTGATTTCCAGGACTTAGTAGAATTTCCCCAAACTAAAAAGGGTCAGGTATTAGGGGTTAGAGTTAAGACAACAGAGGTTGTTTTTGTGAAGATTAAATCAATACTGGCTAGTTATGACTCTTTGCCATCTTTTACAGTCCTGACTTGTTTTACATTAAGAAATTCCCCTGAAGCTAAAACTCCCTGTTTTAAACAGAAAAGAAAGAAACAAAGTCAAAATTCAGTATTTTATTAGCACTGAGCCCTTTCATTTGTTTGGTTATTATCACTTAGATATTAGTATTAATAATTACAAAGTAAATTAATTCTTTTACTGTTGATATTTAATTAAATGTAGCTGATGAGTCACCTTTTCAGGGCTTCAAATGAAGAACTTTCAATAGCTTTGTGGTGTTTTGTTGGCCTGGTTTATACATGGTGGCATTGCTTCAGTAGAGGACCTTAGTCCTCCTCACCACTGCTTAAGTCACTTGTATGTAGGGGACTGAAAAGTGTCAGTTTTTCCCTTTTGAAATGTAGTGAAACAGAAGTGTAGTGATCGTCTGGCTCTCAACCACGATACAATACAATAAAAACTAACTAGACTTTTGAAATAAACAAACTGACTGAAGGTACACTGCTCAAATAATTAAGGGACTACTTGGTCATCACAGTGTAACACAGAGCCAGTTAAACTTCAGGGATATTTATCTGCCCAATCAGGACTCAGAAACCGCTGTGAACCTGTCTCAGCTGAGCAAACCCAAGGCGGTGCCACAGACCAATTCTCTCTTCTTATTCCTCCCTGGTCTCCTTGTCACTGCTGGTACCAGTGGCATGATACCTGCAGCCCATTCGGGTTGCGATGGCAGATCCATCCAGGTTTGCTTTTTCTCTCATATCACTCTCAAGAGTGTGGAGGTGATACCAGGAGATGGGTTAGACAGGGGCCATAAAAGGGCAACAACCTAGCAGCAGGAGGAACAGGAAGAGCACTGCCAGAGTTCCTGAAAATGACCTCCAGATGTCTGCTCATGTGCATGTTTCTGGCCAGAGATGGACTTCATGAGGATGACACGAGGACCCAGCGTCCCGCAGTGGGACCTACACCTCAATGCTACCATTCGTGCACCTGTTGGCACTTTGATTTCCCTGACAGTTTACTGACTCGTGTTACTTTATGACCAAGCAGTGTATATTATGCACAAAACTAAAGTATAGTAAATCCAACAGAGATGGAATGTTTTTTAGTCTTTAATGTTTTTTTGTGGTCATTTTGATTAATATGTTTATTGTAAATTGGATGTTTACATGAATGTGAGTCAGGCGTCATCAAACATATTATAATAAAGAAACAAGTAAAAGTAATACAGAAATAATTATGTCAAACTCAATCAGGAAACTGAAATAAAAAATGAAATTAGAATTAAACTAATAAAAGATACAAAACTAACTAACGGGGTTTATAGTTGTCAGCTGGTGACTGTGTGGAGGTGATTTGAGTACAGTGAACTCACTGTCATGTTCCAGAAACCAGCTTGAGATTATTTGAACTTTGTGGCATGGTGTGTTTTCCTGCTGGAAGCAGCCATCAGAAGATACAGATGGACACACTGCTGCCATAAATGGTTGAATGTGGTCAGCAACAATACAACGAGTTGTATGTAGTGGCTAAATGATGCTTAGTTGGAGACCAAAGCCAAAACCATTGATACAAAACAGGATGGATCCATACAGTCATAGTGCTAATGCCAAACCTTCCCATCCAAATGTTGCATCAGAAATTGAGGAACCATTTTTTCACTCTTCCATTGTCCAATGTTGAGTCAAATTTTAACATTGCGTTCTTGTTCCCATAAGTGGAACCCAGTGTGATCTTCTGCTGCCCAATGCTTCTGCGTCAAGGTTCAATTGTGTGGGGTGCTCAGAGATGCTCTTCCGCAGCTCGAGGCAGTCGGCCATTCTCCTGTGACCTCTGATTTTCAGATTATACATTTGCATTAACAACCAGTTAAATTAGTTGTACCTAAAAAGTGTACAGTGAGTATATTTTATTGAAGGTTACAAATGATCTTCTTATGGCCTCTGACAGTGGACTCATCTCTGTGCTTGTCCTGCTAGACCTCAGTGCAGCGTTCAATACTGTCGACCATAATATCCTATTAGAGCGATTAGAACATGCTGTAGGTATTACAGGTACTGCGCTGCAGTGGTTTGTATCATATCTATCTAATAGACTCCAATTTGTCATGTAAATGGAGAGTCCTCTTCACACACTAAGGTAATTATGGAGTTCCACAGGGTTCAGTGCTAGGACCAATTCTGTTTACATTATACATGCTTCCCTTAGGCAGCATCATTAGAAGACATAGCATACATTTTCACTGCTATGCAGATGACACCCAGCTCTATCTGTCCATGAAGCCAGATAACACACACCAATTAGTTAAACTGCAGGAATGTCTTAAAGACATAAAGACCTGGATGGCCGCTAACTTTCTGCTTCTTAATTCAGATAAAACTGAGGTTATTGTACTCGGCCCTGAAAAGCTTAGAAATATGGTATCTAACCAGATTCTTACTCTGGATGGCATTACCTTGGCCTCCAGTAAGCTGTGAGGAACCTTGGAGTCATTTTTGACCAGGACATGTCCTTCAACGCACATATTAAACAAATATGTAAGACTGCTTTCTTCCATTTGCGCAACATCTCTAAAGTTAGAAATATCCTGTCTCAGAGTGACGCTGAAAAACTAGTTCATGCATTTATTACTTCCAGGCTGGACTACTGTAATTCATTATTATCAGGATGTCCAAAAAACTCGCTGAAAAGCCTTCAGCTAATCCAAAATGCTGCAGCAAGAGTCCTGACAGGGACTAGAAAGAGAGAGCATATTTCTCCTGTTTTGGCTTCCCTTCATTGGCTTCCTGTTAAATCCAGAATTGAATTCAAAATCCTGCTCCTCACATACAAGGTCTTAAATAATCAGGCCCCATCTTATCTTAATGACCTTGTAGTACCATATCACCCTATTAGAGCACTTCGCTCTCGCTCTGCAGGCCTACTTGTTGTTCCTAGAGTATTTAAAAGTAGAATGGGAGGCAGAGCCTTCAGTTTTCAGGCCCCTCTTCTGTGGAACCAGCTTCCAGTTTGGATTCGGGAGACAGACACTATCTCTACTTTTAAGATTAGGCTTAAAACTTTCCTTTTTGCTAAAGCATATAGTTAGGGCTGGACCAGCTGACCCTGAATCCTCTCTTTGTTATGCTGCAATAGACGTTGGCTGCTGGGGGATTCCCATGATGCATTGAGTTTTTCCTTTCCAGTCACCTTTATACTCACTATGTATCACTCCCTCCAGTTAATACACGACACCACGGTTCTTCATTCACTGATGGATTTATTCTTCCGTCAAACTTCTCCTCAGAAACACCATAAAATCCACCGTCAAACTGTTATTACATAAAAGTACAGAATGACCAACATAAATATTACAAATAAACATTTAAACCCAAGTTAACAAATACGCGATAAACAAACACAGTTAACGTACCTCGCTGGCTGCACGTAACCGTGAGGGAATGAGTCCGCTTCAGGAACAAAACTTAACAAAAATAATTCCCAATTTCTTCTTCTTTGCAGCTTTCTTTTACTTTAAACTGCTTATTTATTCCTTCTTCTGCCTTAGTTAACTTATTAACTTAGCTTCTTGCACATGCTTTTTACTTCCCTTTACGTCACTTAAAAGCCTGTGTGCAACACAGAATGAACCTTAGTTCCTACCCCAAAAGGAACAACAATAAATAAAGAAAATAAATAACATAAATGAACACAATAAATTAAACAAATTGACATAATTTACATTTATGGCAGTTAAACTCCCACCAAATCTCAACTTGAGATTTCTTCACAGATTTGCATCTTCAAGTTATAAGCATTTACAACAGTTTAACACATGCTTATTCTGCTTCAACAAGTAGTACTATTTTTTGCACTGGCCTTTCAAGATAAACTGGCCTAGTTGTGCGTTTTCCCTGTTTGTCCAAAGTTGAGTCACTAACCAACAGCTTTACCTTTCTGACCCTTCCATCAGAGCTGGGGTACACCTCCGTGACTCTTGCTAGTCTCCAGTGATTTCGCGGAGCACTGTCCTCTTGAAGAATAACAATGTCATTGACATTGGTGTTCCTTTTATCCCCATGCCATATCTGTCTTTGCTGGAGATTAAGAAGGTACTCCCTCCTCCACCTTGTCCAAAACTCATTCGCCAAGAACTGCACCTGACGCCATCTCTTACGCAGGTATAAATCTTGACTCACGAACTGACCCGGAGGTGGCAATATGATGTTAGACTTCATCAGAAGAATGTGATTTGGTGTGAGCGGTTCAAGACTTGTTGGATCATTCAGGTGCTCTGTTGTCAGCGGTCTGCTATTTATAATAGCCATCACTTCATACAAAAAAGTCCTAAGTGAGGCGGTGTCAAGTCTTTTAGCAGACTGATCAAGAATTGCTGTTAGAACACTTCTGATTGTCCTTATTTGCCTCTCCCAAATTCCTCCCATATGGCTTGATGATGGGGGATTCATTACAAACTCACAGCCATATTCCTTCACCTGCTCATGATCCCAGTTCTTCATTGAGTCCATGAACTCTCTTTTTGCACCCACAAAGTTGGTACCTTGATCACATCTCAACTGCCTTACATTCCCACGTATTGCAATGAATACGCGCAATGCATTGATGAAGGCATCTGAACTGAGGTCATCAAGCATTTCGATATGTACAGCTCTGCAACACATACAAGTGAAGAGAAGACCATACTTCTTCAGTTCCTTTCTTGCATCCCTCACATAGAATGGTCCAAAGCAATCCATGCCACAATATGTGAATGGAGGGGTCATTTCCATTCTGTCCTCTGGCAAGTCTGCCATTTTTGGATCTTGTGTGTTCCTTCTATACTTTCTGCATGTGACGCACTTAAAGATATGTGAGGCAACTGCACTGCTGCATCCAATGACCCATATCCCATTAGATCGCAACTCATTTACAGTCATACCTCTTCCTTGATGCTGTACTTTCTCATGATAATGCTTGATCAATAAAGAAGACACGTGACTTGTTTTTGGCAGAATAGCAGGATGTTTAACATGTGTATGAAGATCACTTCTTGTTAAGCGTCCGCCTACTCTCAGCACACTCTGCTCATCCAAAAATGGACTTAATTTGCATAGCTTGTTTGCTTTGTCTTTGGATTTTACGTCCTTGGATTGCTGTAAATTCTTGATTTCACTGCTGAATACTTCTGTTTGGACCAATCTGATTAGGAAAAGTTCAGCTTGTTGTCTTTCCTCAACACTTGTACTTCCATTGAGTTTGGGACTAAGACCCTTAACTTGCTTAGCATGACGTTTAAGACAAGCAATAGCCTTAACAACTCTTTTCCAGTCAGAAAACTTAGTCAGGCGGTCCAACAATGTTCTATTTATCCTTGCGCTGGTGTTGAGCACCTGAGCCCTTCGAAGTTCTGGATCATTATCACTAACCTCTCCCACCTTAGCATCTCTTGTGGGTAGCTCCCTTTCCCACAGAAAGTCTGGGCCAGTGAACCAATTTGAAGCAACGAGCCGATCTGCCGATAACCCTCTCGAAGCATGGTCCGCCGGATTGTCTTCGGACTGCACATGATACCACTGGTTGACATCTGTGGTGGCTTTGATTCTCTGGATCCTATTTGCCACGAAAACATGAAAGCGTCTGGCATCATTATTAATGTACCCGAGAACAACCTTTGAATCAGTCCAATAATATTCCTTAAGGTTGTCTATTTCGAGCTCATGTTTTAAGATGGCACCCATCTTCGCAGCAACCACTGCTGCAGACAACTCAAGCCTTGGAACTGTTGTGACCTTAGTGGGGGCAACACGCGCTTTCCCCATGACAAGTGAGCAGTGTACGCTGCCATTAGAGTCCACTGCTCTTAGATAAGTGCACTCTCCATAACCTGTGAAGCTAGCATCTGAGAAGTGATGTAACTCGTACTGCTTGACATCTATGAAGCTTGCTGGTATGTAGCACCTCTTAATCTTTACTTGACACAAGTTATGGAGATCTTGTAACCATGACTGCCACTGTGATCTGCACTCCTCTGAAAGTGGTTCATCCCAACTAGCTTTCTCTCGACTCAACTGTTGCAAGATCAACTTCCCACGTAAAACAAACGGTGCTACGAAACCCAAAGGATCGTAGATGGAAGCTACTGTGGATAGCACTCCCCTTCTCGTCATTGGGTGTTTCTTGACAGTTACTCTGAACTGAAAGTCATCAGAGGATACGCACCATTGCACGCCCAGTGCTCTTTCTAGGAGTGGCTCCCCTAAATCTATGTCCAGTTCTTTGACACTGTCTGCACACTCTTCCTTTGGTATTGACTCCAATACCTTCTTGCTGTTGGAAATGAACTTGTGTAGTCTAAGCTTGCCTGTGCTGCAAAGCTCTCTTGCTTCCTTGATCAGCTTGATTGCCTCAGCATCAGACCTTACACTCACCAGTCCATCATCAACATAAAAATTTCTTCGGATGAACTTGACAGTGCTTTGGTTAAATCGATCTTGACCTTCTGTGGCTAGATGTTTAAGTCCAAAATTGGCACAGCCAGGTGAGGAAGCTGCTCCAAACAAATGGACTTTCATCCGAAAAACTGATGGCGGAGACTCAAGATCACCATTCTCCCACCATAAGAACCTCAAGTAGTCTTGGTCTTCAGGCTTTACATGGAATTGATGAAACATTCGTTCCACATCACACATAATAGCGACTGGGCCCTTTCGAAATCTACAAAGAACTCCCACCAAGGTGTTTGTGAGCTCTGGCCCTGTAAGAAGGTAGTCATTCAATGACATGTCTTGAAATCTTGCCGAACAATCAAAGACCACTCGCAGTTTCTCTGGCTTTTGAGGGTGGTATACGCCATGGTGGGGAATATACCAAGCTGATCGTTTATCAAGCTCTTTTTCTGGGACCTTTTCTGCTTCACCACGACTGATAATGTCTTCCATGAAGTTCATGTAGTCTGTCCGATATTTCTGGTCTCTCTTGAGCTTCTTTTCCAAGCACATGAGGCGTTGAACAGCACTTGGCTTGTTATTTGGTAGCTCTGGCCTGCTCTGTTTAAAAGGCAGAGGCATTTCAAGATGTCCGTCTTCTTTGTGCTTAATTTCTTCTTTCATTTTAGTCAAAAACCGGAGATCTTCTTGCGAGAGATTTGTCTCTTCTCCAAGCCTTTCACTGAAGTCAGATTCCAGCACCTTAAGTATGTCTTCTGGAGCAGTCATCTCCTTAATTCTTGTTTTGCAAACATAATGAACTTTGCTCTTCAACTTACTTGTTACTTTGGGTTCAGGGGTCACTTGCTTTACAATGATGCGGTGACTTACTCCTATTGCATCACTGTAGTGTTCACCTGGATCACCATAGCTCACTATGCTCCAGCCTACGTCAGTTTTCTGTGCGAAGGGCTGGTTGTCCTCACCACATACAACTTCTCTAGGCATTAGTGCTTGTGGACAGTTATACCCGATAAGAAGACCGATTTCACATTTCTTCGGCGGGGCAATGTGTTCCGCAAGATGCTCTAAATGAGGCCACGCCTTTGCAGTCTCTGGTGTTGGAATGTGTGTACGATTGGCAGGTATGAATTCACGAGTGTAGACCGTTGGCACTGTGATCTTCTTAGAAGAAGATAACCCTCTTATTTGTAGACCTTTGAGTCTTTTGCATGGTACAATTGTCTCCTTGGAAGACATTGTAGACAGCTTCAACTTGACTGGCTCTGCATTAACATCAAGAGCATCTGCCACTTCTTCAAGAATGAATGAAGAATCACTTTGTGAATCTAACAGAGCATAGACAAGGACTTCTTTGTTTGAATCACTTGGCATTGATGCATAAACAGGAACTATTGCTGAAGTCTGAGCACTGTTACCATCATGCACAACTCTATTGGATGTGGTTTCGTGAGTGGTGTCTTGCGGCGACTGTGGCTTTCTTTCCTTACTGCAACTTGTCTCGTCATTTTCCTTTTGCTTTGAGCGATCCTCATGTAAGCATGTGGGGTGGCGCTTTGAGCAGGTGTCGCAGACCATCCGGTTGCTGCAATTCTTGGATTGATGGCCAGGACTCAAACAGCCAAAGCACAGTTTCTCACCTTGAATGAACTTCACTCGGTCAGCAACTGGCCTTGCAGTTAGCCTACGGCACTTGTGCAAGACATGCCCTGTTTTCTTACAAAACATACATGTGCTTATGCTCTTCTCAGTGGTGTTAGTTGTAAAAATCCTTGCACTTGCTGCTTGGTTCTTAGAGGTCACTACATTCTGAGGTTTAGATCTTGTCCTTTCTGGCTCCCCTTGCCGCAAAGCATTGTAAGATGTAACAGGGTTACAAGCAATACTAGCCTCCAAAGTCAGGAAAGTTACGAAATACTTGAAATCTGGGAACCTTCCATGCTCCAGCTGATACTGTGTGGCTTTTCGGTTCCATCTGCTGCTTAACCAATCAGGCAACTTGGCTGTCAGTTTTTGGTTTTCAATGCCATCATCAAGAATACGCAGACTCTCATTGTGAGCCATGGCACATTCACAACTGCGTAAAAAGTCCACAAATTTCCTTAAGTCAGCGCTCTCTCTTGATGCTATCTTTGGCCAGGCATGTAATTTGTCTCGGCAGGCTTTGGCAATCATAAAAGGCTGGCCGTATCGCTCATTGAGGAGTTCCCATGCAGCAACATATGCAGTATCTGAACCAATCAGAAAATAACCTTCTAATGCCTCTCTAGCTGCTCCTCCAACATATTTCTGGAGGAAGAATATTTTCTCCGAGCTTGGAATGTTTTTCTTTTCAATAAGAGTTTGGAAGGATGACTTCCAATGATTAAACTTGAGTGGATCACCACTAAAAACTGTGGGCTCTGGAATGGGTAGCCTATTTGCTGATATAGCCTCAGCTAAGACCTTCACAAGCTCTCCTGTGCTATCCTGGAGCACATGTGTTGGCACTGCATCCTTTGGTGGTTGTGAGTGCTGGTCCTCAGTCTTCACCTGATTGAGTGGCTGCATAACCTTATGTAGATCCAGGCTCTGTGCAGCATTACCTTGGGCTGGACTGAGCTCACTCTCATCATATACTTGAAGCCTTGCTTTGGCTGCATTCAGCCTTTTCAAATTTTCCAAACGCTCAAGTTCTCTCTTTAGGTTTCCTACAGACCTTCTTCTTGCAGCATTCTCTTCTTGCTGTTTCTTTAAGAGAGCAGCCTCTTGTTTCTGTCTTTCTAGCCTACGTTCAGTTTCTTCCCTTTCTCCTTCAAGACGACGAGCTAATGCTGCTGCTTCTTGGTCTGCAATGATCAACCTCTCTTCAGCTTCAAGGTTTTGCAGTTTCTCTTCGTGGCCCTCTTGTTCAGCCATAATCTGCAGTACAGCCTGTGTAGCTGCATACTCGGCAGCAGCTTCTTGTCTTCTAAGTGAAGATACACTTGAGTGAATAGAAGAAGCTTTAGAACCATTAGAGGCAGGAAGTGAAACACTGGAGGCTGACGATGAGAATACAGAACTATTATCTGGCCAAATCAACTCCTCCGCTGTTCCCTGCATTTCAGATTGAGCATTTTGTACTACAGTCTTTGTGATCGAGATGCAGTTATCCATCTTGCGACGCATGTCATGGGCTGGTTGATCAATTCTTCTGTAATCATCATAAGCAATGTTCAACTCAGATAATTCCCTTTGAATACTGGTGATGTGTTCTTGTAGGATGTCACTAGGATCCTGTTTTAACACAGATCTTTTAGCTACCTTAATCAGAGCTTTCCATCGTTCATATTTGCTGTCAAAGCGAAGCAATAGCCCTTTGATTTGCTCTTTCTGAAACTCTTTTCCTTTTCTGTTAATGTCCGGGCTCTTTCACTTCTACGAGGCTCTTCAGGTGGTGCTATATTTTGCCCGATATTTGATTCACCTGTCTGCTCTAACTCTGTCTCTTCTTCCAGAGCAGCTGCTGCACCCTGAGCTTCTTTACTTGTATGTGACATTTTGATTATTTAGACACAGATATACACAGGCAGCATACAAGAGCAAGCTACAACAACATTTGTGAATACTGAAAGAATGAGCTTAACTAAATGAAGTCACTCTCATTCAAATTAGCCCATACATGTAGAATATTACCGTAAATACAAACTGAATTTCTGTCAAAATGTACAAAGTTTACTTCTGCCCTTTCAGAGCCAACTATAATTATTCAGCTGAACATGAATTTACATCTCTTACGTAAATGCACATTCATATACGTGAAACAGCGTGGCTGCCAGACTATACACAGTTCCTTTTAGTTTCCAACTCTTGTGTCACTTTTCAGACCAAAAACTTTAGAGTCTGGCTTATAGACTTCTTCATGAAAACCTTATGGACCTGTGTGTCCTAAACAGTGGCTTATCTGTGTTCCCGTCTTGATGAGCTGTCGAATTTGCGCTGATAGGGCGAGTCTGGGCAGGTCCGAGTTTGACTATCACTCCCTCCAGTTAATACACGACACCACGGTTCTTCATTCACTGATGGATTTATTCTTCCGTCAAACTTCTCCTCAGAAACACCATAAAATCCACCGTCAAACTGTTATTACATAAAAGTACAGAATGACCAACATAAATATTACAAATAAACATTTAAACCCAAGTTAACAAATACGCGATAAACAAACACAGTTAACGTACCTCGCTGGCTGCACGTAACCGTGAGGGAATGAGTCCGCTTCAGGAACAAAACTTAACAAAAATAATTCCCAATTTCTTCTTCTTTGCAGCTTTCTTTTACTTTAAACTGCTTATTTATTCCTTCTTCTGCCTTAGTTAACTTATTAACTTAGCTTCTTGCACATGCTTTTTTACTTCCCTTTACGTCACTTAAAAGGCCTGTGTGCAACACAGAATGAACCTTAGTTCCTACCCCAAAAGGAACAACAATAAATAAAGAAAATAAATAACATAAATGAACACAATAAATTAAACAAATTGACATAATTTACATTTATGGCAGTTAAACTCATGTATTAATAGACCTCTCTGCATTGAATCATATCTGTTATTAACCTCTGTCTCTCTTCCACAGCATGTCTTTATCCTGTCTTCCTTCTCTCACCCCAACCGGTCGCAGCAGATGGCCCCGCCCCTCCCTGAGCCTGGTTCTGCCGGAGGTTTCTTCCTGTTAAAAGGGAGTTTTTCCTTCCCACTGTCGCCAAAGTGCTTGCTCATAGGGGGTCATATGATTGTTGGGTTTTTCTCTGTACCTATGAAGCGCCTTGAGGCGACTTTTGTTGTGATTTGGCGCTTTATAAATAAAAATTGAATTGAATTGAATTATGTGAATAAGAAGCTGCGCATGAATTAAACTTTATTTTGTGCCGTTCTCATTTATGTAATGTTTGTTAAAATCTTTAAACCCAGAAATGTTTTGATTCAAGGTTGTTTATAGGGCAACTTATAGGTTATTGTGATACTCTAGTTCTGGTTAATTATCATAGGTGTCTTGTAAGCCCATTTGGGCTGGGTATAATGTTTTAAGCATCATATAATAATAAAATTTGATCAGTTAGTGAATCTATAAACCTGTTATGTGTCTAATTACCAACGAAAGTATCTTCTATAGATGTATTTTTAAAACCAACCTGGTGTTTTTTCTGGTGGGCCAAACCAGACAAAATGTGAAAAAATGAAGGCAAAGAAAGAATTATATAATAATTACTTAAATAGCAATATTTTGTAGGTAGTTGATAATTTTACTTGCCAAATGTTCACATTTATTCCCAAAAACATGCCTGCAGACGGTCCTATTGATGCAAATGCTTCACAGCTATTAGATTCAATAAATTAAATGAGAACGCATCAGCCGACAGTCTTTTATGCGATGTCAGACAGTCACAGGTAAAGAAAAAGCATCAGCCAGAGACTTGGTCTAATCTTTATATACATAATTAGTCACCAGTTACAATACACATATTTATATACTACAGGAACACAGATAATACAGGTACTCAGTGTGTGTTTTACATTTTTTTTTTATTATTATTATAATTTTTTCTTTACCTAACCTGCATGTTGAAGAAGTGCCAATCATGGGGTTTGTCTTCAAGCCTGGAGGACAAGAAGGGGAGAGGCTCTCACTCTCAGCCCTACTCCCAACTCACCACATATCCACTGGTCTACATTTGAGCAGTGCATAGGTCTCAGAAGTCCGGACTCCTTTTCTAACGCACACAGATGGCTTATACAAGTTTAAACATCCTGCCTCTTTTATCCCAGCTCCTTTTTTTTGTTTTTATAGAAGAAAGCTTCACATTCATTCTTCTATCTAATGCTAAAGCTGATCTGAGACATATTAGGACTCATCTGCAGATAAAATGAATGGGAAACGGACTTCATGGACTCGCCCATTATGCCCTTTCAAGTATGGCTTAACACAACTGTATTTTGTTGCATCCTTCAGCAGAAGACAAACCCACAGAGAGCCTTTAATGCAATGTCATTATTGCTTACAGAGTAAAAGAAAAAGCTTTTGTGTACATAGACACAGTGCAGATTCACAGAGGGCCCTATAGTTGGACGGTGATCATGGGAGAGCAGAGCCGAACCTCTGCTTGCTTTCATCATGAGAGCGGGGACACGTCTGACTCGGAGGAACTTATTAAGAGCAAGCAGAGTGTGAGCGGGTCGGGAGTGTAGGGTTTCTCGATCTAAGGTGGAGGATTTACCACAGGGAATGATGGCAAATGCTTTCTTTGCTTATACAGTGACAACTTCTGTGGTTTTTCAGTATGATGGGTAACACTGTATTCACATGAATGCAGCCAGCGGGGATTCCTGGTCACTGAGAGCTGTCACGGTTTGAAAAACTGAACAACAGGACACCGAAAACTACAACTGCACTGCAAAGCTGGAGTGGGCACAAGTAAAACGAGCTTCAGAGTGTCAGTGTGCACACAGCAGTTTCCTATAGCAGAGCAGAACTGCCACCAAATATCAAAACCTCTTTAACATCAAAGGAGATCTTGTTCTAATGAAAAACCATCAAACTTAATGTAATACAATTTTATGTTGGAGTAGATGGTGCAGACTGTGTGTTTGCTGGATATTTAGTGTTTCTCTGCTTGAACAGATATGGGTTCAGGATCTAAAATAATGCATCTGAAATGTATTCAGGCTGTGAGCGGCTGATATGTCACCATAGTCCAATATTTCAACCCTAAACCAAAGTAAAACTGTATTAAACTAAGCATTAGAGAAATGAATGTAAATAAAATGAAATTTTCAAGTCTCTCCTAGGAGTTATTAATTGAGAATTAATAACTCCTAGGAGAGTTATTAATTCTTAATTGAGAATATCTGGACCATTTCTTTAATGCAAAAATCATTAAGTAGTGAATAATGGTGCGATTGTTCCTTTTTGTATGGTCTTGTACAGACCATTGCATCACTTCCATGCATTTGTATTTTGACTAACAACTGATCTCTGATAGTATTACTGCTATTTTTCCCCAGTTTGTTCAGAAATTCATGCTTTCCAGAGGGTGAACCCTAACAACTTTGGTGGACCCATGATTTCCCCTCTATCACTACCATCCATCTGTCCATCTTCCAGTTATCCAATTCAGTGTCACACAGTGGGACCGGAGCCAATCCCAGCCATCATGGTGAGAAGCAGGGTACACCCTGACAGGTAGTTTATTAACCTAACGTACATGTCTTTGTGACGGGAAGCTGAGGCACAGAGAAAACCCCAGCCGGCTCATGGGCTTGAACTCAGGACTGTCTCATTGTCCTCACTGCACCACTGCTCCACTGTGCTCCCCTGCAGTAAACAAAATATAATAGAAATGGACGCTGCCTTTTGGTGTTAGTGACATAATTTGGATCAGAGATGTTCGGCAATAATCTGGGAACCTGTCAATGCATTTGCAGGATTTTGGCCGGGAATTATAGGCGAGTCGCTTGTGGACGCACACCCATGCCTTTTTAGCTAACAGCTGGTGGATAGTCCAAGCTCCAGTTGCCAAGGTAACCCTGTAATGTATTTCCAACATTGTCATATGTCTATCATTATAACAAGACCCTGTCACCCAATGGCGGCTCTGCTTCCCCGGAGTTCGAGGCTTTGTGAAAGCTCTAATCTTTGAGCTAAAATGGTTGTGTTTGTAACGCAAACCTACTGATATGACTGGCATTTTTTAAGGCTGATACTAATAAAAAAAAATCAAAGCTATTGCAGAAGATTAAGCCAATAATTTTATGTATGTTTTCCCCAGATTACTATTCTCATCTGGGAAATAGAGAGCGGGATGAGGATGAAACAGCAGCGAGACAACACTCATCTCCTCACCGCCACCTCAGTGAGATTCAGACCGTCTGACTTTTTCATGTAGATATCTCACCAGCTGATGGACTAAAACCATTGATTTACAAGACAGAATTATTATATGTACACTCCTCCAGCACCCAATTAACTCACATTACTCATAATATACACACATCCATTCCTAAGTGATTTTTTTAGAATGACTTGATTTCCTTGGTTGCCTATCGTCTTCACGCTTCTGGAGACAAACATTGCAGATACAGTCCCACAAAAAGCGATCCAGTGGCTGTAGTTTGTTGAGTGTCTGGACAGTACATTCCTCAAAAAACTAGTCTTACCCTCACAAAAAAACAAAACAAAGTAAACACCTCATGTTGACCCTCTTCACCAAGTCTGTCAGGAGATTCTGGGACATGAGGTACATTCTGCTCATGCTCGTCACTATTCAGTCCACAGGATGGTTACAGGAGACAACAGCAACAGGGTTAGTGATGCTGGGTGTTTTGTCAGCCAGTGAAAGTGGATGAACTGTTTACAGATCCAGGTTATCACTAACATTTGGAAAGAGTGGAGATACAGTGTTACAGGAAGAATTAATATGTCCACACAAAAGCGTACCAGCCAGATTTTTAGCCTTTCCAAACCTCAAAACACAAGAAACAAAGGTAAGTAATCCCATGGTGAGCAGGCCTCTTGGACCAGTGCATGGACTCACAGGCTGGAGGGTTGGAGGAGGGGGTACAGGTGGCTTACATCTTCAAAATGGGCTTCTGTATGCTAGCATAGACAATGAAAAAATGGGTGTAGCTTCCAGGCCTGAAAACTGAAGCCAGCATAGAAGTGCCTTCAAGATACAGTTTTTTTAAAGGGCACCAGGAGGTGACTTCTCTGGATGCAAAAGGACTTCTGGCCCTAGAGAAGCCTATGGAAAAATATAGCTCAGAGTTTCAGGTCATATCAAATAAACCGTCAGGTCCACTTTGTTAATTGTCAGAAAGGAGAATTATCCAGGGTATACTCACTGGCTAACAAGTTCTGATTGATCAGTTGTCGCATCGAGTTTCAAAACACTGAAAAAGTTCCGCCTAAGGCTTCGTAACGTCATGGTGGCTACATCCATCTTTTATATTGTCTGTGCACTTGCTCGTATTGTAACCTCATTAAATAGCTGCAATCTCGCTGGCTATTGTTTCGTTTGGTTACCCTTGATAATCTGGATTTGAAGTTGGACTTTAATAACAAATAAAGCATGGCGAATATGTAAAAAATATATAGGTGCGCCACCTTTTTTATATATCTGCTCAGCTGGATAACTAGTTTACTAGCAGACTAAGAGACAGATGGCACTAAATTAATCCAGAGTATGTGGGAGAAACAGAAACAATGGTGGCTAATGGAGAACAAAAATCCCATTTTTGTGGCAAAAATCAACAAACGTTTTAAATTTTTTTTTAAATCAGGGTTTACAGGTGATTTTTAATGTCTTAAGATAATTTAGATAATGATTCAACATAAATACCCACTTTACCCCCTTTAAAGTCTTTGCTGAGTGGTCTTAAAACACGGCGACTAAAAACATTAAAATCACCAAACACTGGTTAGCCCTGATGCGAGCCTTCTCTCATGTGGGCTTACATTAAAAGTCCAGCTGAATGTCAGATAGGATTTATACTGCTTCCATGTGTTTT